TGCATTTTTTTTTTTTTTTTGTTATTTTAGGTTGATTTTTAAATTCCCTGTAGGTTTTCCCTATTTTCCCTGTGGAGTGGCAAAACTTGTAAACAAAAACAATTTTTACCTGTGCATACACAAGATGTGGAGTAGTAGTAAGTCCATAATTTTGTAATGAATTGGGATATGTTGAAGTATAGATAGTAGATCCTTCAGGGTAAGACTTCAACATATTTTGATTATTTGATTGTCTGTCAGCTGTTTGGAATCTTGAAAACTGGTCAACAGTAGGCACTAAAATTTCATAATGTCCATTACCATTGGATATAACATTGCTAGGATGGAGGTAAGAGTTATTGCTGGCATACAACTTTTGGGCAACAGTAGTCGCCTTTTTGGACGAAGTTTCAGATTTAGATTTTGAACTCCTGGAAATTTTATTGCTGGACAATACAGAAGATGTAACAGAAGAACTTATTGTTCTGGCAGAGTTACTAGACTGGGGTATTAAACTAATATTTTCTGCACTATAACCAGCAATGTTAGAAGATCTCATGGCAGCGTCATGATTTGTACCGGAGGGGATAAAATTGGATGGCTTCAGTTTAAACAACTGTTGATCTGTCTTGTTAGCAATAGCTGAGCTGCTTGCATTGCTAGGCAGAAAGCTGTTGGGGGGTGTCGAAATTGCGTGGGTGCTCACGGGGATGAAATTGTTAGACATAGATTGGAAACTTGGCATGGATGGGAAACTAGGCATCGATGGAGTAGACACTGGTGGAAAACTTGACACTGATGGGCCAGGCATTGGTGGGAAACTTGAATTAGAAGTAAAATTGGGATACGGAGAGACTGGTTTCAACAAATTCGAAAAACTGGAAGTCACTGGAGGTTGTGACAAAAGAGGCATGCCATAGGATGAGGCACTTTGAAATTGTGGAATTTCAATGACAGGAGATGTTCTTTTAGGCGCAATTGCACTTGAGGTATCCTTGTAAATTTTATTTCCAGCTGATTCATTAACCTATAAATAAAGAAAACTAGTAAGCACATGAAAAAGAATTTAACAATATCCGCTAGCCTGAGATTATCTTTTTATTTATAGGAAACAAGATACTATAAAATATATACAAGATAATTCACCACAAAAGGAGCAATTCTCCCTAATCGTAAATGATTAATGCACTAACATTATACTAGTACGGCCCAGACCTCAGGCTACATGCAACCCACCTATTCATTTTTATTTGCTGTAGTCCTCCTTACAAGAAAAAACTTGTTAATTTAAGATTTGGAAAGAAAAAAATCATTTACCTTTGTAACTGCTTTAAATTTTTAACTAATACTTCAAGTACACTATCATAAAGTAAAACAATAAAATAATGATGAAATATTAAGAAATAATAGACGTTTAACATAGTATCCTCTATTATTTTATTTTCAGAAATTCTGCTAAAAGTCAGAATAATTATTTTCCTGTTTTAAATTACTTTTGATATCAATTGTAACTTTCAATTAGCTCAGTCAAAATAGAAATAGTCTTCATTTGTTTGCTTAACTTCTAACATCAGAAAATGTTAATGAGAGATATCAAATTAAAAAAAATAAAATACAATATTACAAAGATTAAAAATATAAGTTTTGTGTATACATATATATATGTCCCAGATTTTTGTTATTGGCGATCTTTATTACTAACATATATTGGCGATCTTTATTACTATGTCCTACTTTGATAGATAAAATATATTGCAAAACAGTATTAGATTTGAATACAAACAGTCTTTACAGTCTCAACTTTTTGGGGGGAAATATTGGACTTATTAGGTATCTCAAACCTTTTCCTAGAATTTTTGGGTATTTTATTTATTACAATATTAGATTTGAATAAAAAGTCTTTACAAGATTAATTTTTTTGGGAAGAATATTGGACTTTTTAGGTATCTCAAACTAATTCCTTTTTCTCGACTTTTGGGGTATTTCAATTAAATTTCCTGAATAATTATCCAGATTGATAAAATTTCCCAATTTTTTTACTGTTCTGTGGCCACGCGATAAGTTATTTACAGAAGGGTACAAGAAAGGATGTAAGAAAAATAAGTACTCTGCGATTTTACCTCATTCCTGACACTGTCCAGATTAGCTCTTAATTCCATGCTAGACTGTATAGGCTGAGAAGGATTTGCATGTGGCTGTGCAAGCAAATGAAACGTCATCTTATGAGGATCAGTTTTATCAGGCACAACAAGAATTTCTCCAGTCGAAGGCGGCAGGCTCACTTTCATGGTTGGAAACTTGTTTGGCTCCGGCTTTAAAATCTGAACTGGATTCTGATAGGAGAACGACTTGTCATATGCAGAATTAACCTGAGGAATCGTTAAACCTTTAGGAGAAGTAGTCGGTGACATGTGAGTCGTGAATGTTGCCACCGTGTTACAAACCTGTGCTGGTGGAGGCGTGAGTTGCTTAGCCTCGGACTGGTTCGAAAGTTCCGGAGATATTCTCGAAGGAGCACTCGTAAAAGAAGAAAATCCAAGAATACTGGCATCAACGGTAGAAGGTTCGATGTTGTTTGACGGAAAGGTAAAGTTTGACTGAATGCCCAAACTGTCTTGCAGAAATGGAACATGCTTGTCGACGATGGAACTTTGAATGAACGGACTCGATTCTGGTGAACTTTTTTGAGTGTTTTCTGGCGTACTAGAGTCGGAACTGCGAGATTGGGCCGAATGTGCGGACCTGCCACCAGGTGACGTATTCACCTCACCAGATGAATAGATTGCTTCCCTAGTGAAACTAATATTTCCATTTGTTATACTCTGATTACTACACTCATCCAAAATGTTATCCATACCATGGAGTAGGCCTTCTGTGCTGCTGTTAGAAGCCTTACGGTCATCTTCCCGTGAACTATCGGGGAAATTAGAATCATTTTCACTTAATTGCTGATCAGGTACTTCATTCAACACAGTATCTTTTTGTCCATCATAATTAATGTTTCCTTTTTGGTTATCTTCATTCGTAAACACGCACTCGTTTGAATCGTCGTCGTTGTTGTGAGACTCTAGGTAATCGTTTGAACCAGAATTATTGCAAACGTCAAAGTCCTCCATGGAGTTAGTGTTCTCCTCCCCCAACAAAGAGGAGTTGTTGCTGCTGTCCTCTTCATGCTCTTGATTTGAAGAATCAGACAGGAATCTTTCCAGCACTTCCCTAGGGTTGCTATGAATTGATACTACTTTCAAGCTGGAATGTCGAGAGTCACTGTTAGTGTATAGGCTTTTAAAGACTTTATTTGATTTCTGAAAAATAGAAAGAATTTTAAAATTAATTTATGCATACGTAGACAAACACTGAGAAAAAATTTTATTACTTTTCTCGTATTTCATCACTACTTTTTTCAACTATACATTATTCTTATGTAGACTTTTATTATGTATCTTAAATACAAATTATATCATTTTTCCAAGCAATTTTCGGAATTTTAGTAAAATTTCCTGATTTATCCAGATTTATAAAAGATTGATCCCTTTCCCTGTTTTGAGGCTACCATAAGAGAATGAAACAGACTGAGATCAAATAGAAAGTTAACTTAGAATAATAAAATATTCAGGAGATGACAAAATTCATGGTAGGCTACTTACTTAGCCCTTTGATTTGAAACTTTTTGGTGCATAATCGGATATTTTTCTGCATAGCAAACTGGTTTTATCACGTTATTCCTCTCTATAACTTTCTTAAAGAAAATAAAAATAGAGCAGATTTTTAGCTTTCTTAAGTCAAAAAAATTTTTTTTTGTTCTTTATAAAAATTACTTACAACTTGATTACTTACTAAATACTAAATCTAAATAATTTTGAGGAAAAAATCAATGTATGTTTTGAATTTTTTTAAGATTAAGAATCAGAACTTCTAAAATAAAACATCATTGCAACAGCCAATAACATGATGGCGATTTTAATTCCGCACTATTAAAACCAATGACATAATGTCAATGATGTGGTTAGCATTGTGAACTGGCTGCCTTTACTTCCCCAACTGATGTATTGGGTTGCAAGCTACCAGCGAGCACAGAATCCTGGTACTTTCTAATGACAGCACAGTGCCTTAACCACAGTGTAATTTTGAGATAATAAATACTACCACATTTTGAAATTTAGAGCAATGTTTATAATTCTTTTTCTTTTTTTAATTTTTCAAAAAAAAATCATTTATACATTATTCTTATTTAGGTTGATGAGTATTTCTGTATAGAATAACTAATCAAACCAATTAAGTAAAAAACACACAGTTTAACAACGGCAATCTTTAAGAAACAAAAATATATTTGCAATGTTAAAATAAGTTGTGTTTGTGAAGATTGTGTTTTAAACTAGAAACTAGTAAATACTAGTGTGAATGTAATAATAATGCATCAATGCTATCAGCAGGCACAAGGCCAATTGAAACCTATTAATACGGAAATGCATTTACAAGGAATTTTAAAACTATGAAAATCATTTTAAGCTACAAAATATCTTGTAACATAATTTCATATATATATGTATATATAAATTCCTTTAAAAAAATCAGTTTCTTTTAAATGATTTTAACCATAAATTAAAACTAGACTGATTTAAATCAACCAACTTTGATTAAAAACATTATCCTTAGATTTATTTCAAAATCACTGAAATTATCAAAGTCATGTCATCGGAATTATACCAGATTAGTAGTGTTATCCAATATACGACAGTTGCAGCAGACATTAACCATTAAAGAGACACAAATGTTTCACATTCCCTAACATAATCTACAGTGTTATTTCTAACATCCAGAAAAGTAATTCAACTCACCTTAACAGATAACTGTGCTTCTTTGGACAAAGACTCTAAGGCTGACAAATGAGATGCTTTCTTCTTTCTTTTCCTTCCGTCGTCAGGTTTCATTTTTCTCCTCTTAGAAGCAACTTTAGAGTGCTTGGAATTACTTTTAAATTTGTTCTCTTCTTTAATATTAGTGAAACTAATGTTGCTTATTCCATGTTCCTCAAATAGTTTATTAAGGCCACAAAGGAACATATTATAAACACTGTGCGCCATTTTTGTATGAACTGAAAATAAAAATATGTTTTTTGTTCATAAAAGTAATATAATATAAGAATTATTAATAATTTAACTATAATTTATATAACTATTAATTAATATAACTATTATTTGTTTATATAAAAATATAACTATTATAAAAGAAAATTATTTAATCCAAACATAGTTTAAGGCTATAGAGGTTAATAAACTATCAGATAGTTAATTAAGACAACATCATAACAAGATTATAAACTTTTTATCTTACAGGAATCCATAATTGCATTTTTCGTTAGTGGTGGTCGTTATTATTTTTAAGAATTTTAGAGATGTCATGCTTTAACTTTACTCACATAAATTTATTTTAAATGTATATTTGTAGAAGAGCAATCATACAAAAACATTTCAAAAATACAAGTCCAATAAATATTTAAAGTAACACAGACTCATATTAACAATTAAACTAAAGTATAAAAAGATTTTTATGGAAAAATTTACTATTTTTCATTAAGGTATATCTAAACTAAGTATTTATATATATATAATAGAAAATTAAGTTATTTAAAATAATTTCTCTTAAAAAAATAAGCTTGATTTCAACAAAAAAAAATTATAAAAGGTGGTTTAAACAAGCCAACCCTGTACAAACTTATAAGATGATAATAAGATTTCAAGATGATTATAAAATGTAAAAAAAGTTTAAAAATATAATAAATTATCAAAAAAAAACTTACCACCATGTTCACCATTATAAAGACGAGAATTTGACACCAATTTTCGAAAGTCTGCATCCAAATCATTGACAGAATTATAACAATGATTCAACAGCTTTCGAGTAACAGTTGATAAATCCATTGGTTGCTGCAGACGAAAATAAGTACTTAAATTAATACCGCTAATATTAAGAAAACATAAATTAAATCTATAAACATTAAGATTGGTTTTAAAAGTTTAAATATCTGGCTAAGATGCGGACTGAATGTTTGATTCAACAAAATTCTGAAAATATTATTCCTTTTCATGTTTTGTAGTAACCACTAGCAACTATGTACAGTGCATAAAATGAAAATGTGAAAACACTCAATAACTTTTAAACAGATTTTTATGTCTGATTTTGAAACTAAAGCATCTTCTGCACTATTTAATTGGCACATTTTAGATTACAGCCTTGAACCATTAAAATTGAGTCCATTAGTACATACATGAACTTAATAATAAATATGTAATAATATTTACACGAATAGTTTTATAAAATATTTATTTTAAAACCTTCATGGTTAGATATTTTTTCATTAATTTTAGTTCAATAAATATATACAAACAATCCAATTTAAATAGCTAAAAAATCGTACCTAAATAATTAATTTTAGCATATACATGCATGTATATACAAGTATATAGTATACTCAAAGTTAACCGTGATGTGTTGGTCTAAAAAACTAAAAGTACGCTGTTTTAATTTTATGATTTCAGCTTCGTGTTTTAGTCACAGAATAGAATATTCCCTTATAATCATGTTATCCTTCATTTTTAGTGTTTTAGTCACAGAGTAGACTATTCCCTTACAATCATGTTATCCTTCATTTTTAGTGTTTTAGTCCCAGAGTAGAATATTCCCTTATAATCATGCTATCCTTCATTTTTAGTGTTTTAGTCACAGAATAGAATATTCCCTTATAATCATGTTATCCTTCATTTTTAGTGCTTTAGTCACGGAATAGAATATTCCCTTATAATCATGTTATCCTTCATTTTTCATTTAAATTCCTTTCACATTTCTTTGATAAGCGCACATAAACAGTCCAGTGAATTTCCACTCCTGTATATAAATATCATGGATATAAATATCCTACATCTAACTCACCGATATTATTTCATAATAACCTGGTGCCTCTTCTCTTTGGACAGGATTCAAAAAGGGCCAGGCGTCCTTGCACAGTTTGATTTGTCCAACCACTAAAACGCAAAATTGTCAGACATTTAGTTTTAAGATAAAAATTTAGCGTGTAAAATAAATAACAAAGATTTCATAAAGTAATGATCAACTTACATCTTAGAATAGCAGGCTTCAAATCAATGCCATTACTGTTAAAAAGAAAAGAAAAAAAGTTGAATTGTATGGACACTGAAAATGAACAACATTGGGATATGGGGGTGATAAAATAAAAAATAGTATTATATTCTCTATTTAAAAAAAAAAAGGAAAACTTTTAAAAAAATGTCTTATAATTTAAATTTTTCTGGCTCCTCAATTTATTTTTTAGGTTTTTAACAAAAAAAATATATTTTTCATTACACCCTGATTTTTTACGCAATTTCCCCGAGCTTTCAAGTTTTTCTATAAAGGGTATAAACCCTGAAAAAACAACAGTAAAATTTTATTTTAATTAAAAATAATAAAAGACTAACAATTACCAAGAAAGTCTCAAGAAAATAAGTCTAAAATAAAAGTTCGAATATCATGAAGTTTTTTCACTTACTGTAATTAAATTAGCATCTATACAATTTTATTAGCTCTTATTTAATAATTATCATTAAAAATCTACCCTGATAAAAATATTTACAGAGCAAATCTGCAATAATAGCTTCATAAATCCGAAACAGTCTGTCGATTATTGTTCAATTTAACACACCTATTTAATAAAAATTGCAAAAATAAGGTATTTATAAATCTTAATAGTTTAAATTGAATATGAATGGCATATGTAACAGAATGCCACCAGATGGCGCTCTCCTATTAATTCAATTACATATTTTTCTTTGTGTGTCATTATGATCTCATGATTTGATTAATGTTGAAGGGAAAATGTCAGCCCTTATAATACCGGCTATCTTCATATCATAATGTATTAAAGTTTTTTTTGTTTTTAAAATAATGTATTTCGTTAATTAATTTGACCACCGATCTATACTTAGTAATCTCTTTTAGCATATAATGATATTCAAAAAATGTGAAATAAATTATAAAATAAAATTTTATAATTGAGCAACCAAAAAAAATAAATTTCTTTGTTTTGTTCTTTGTGGTGCTCTCTCAACTCAGCTTTATAATTTTGATTAGAAACCCGTTTACTTTATATCTGATTAAATTTAAAAATAAATAAATGAATAATAAAAATTCAAAATAATTTGCAGATGCTGAGATAACCACAAACTTCTGGGGGCTAGAGGATCTCTGCAATCAGGAAAACTACTACCATTAAATTTGCTATTAAACTTATCAGCAGCTATTAAAAATTAAATCATAACAAATTACGAGATAGACATTAAATATTGTTTACTTTACACACCTCAGATCTAAGAGCAAAGAATCCGCATAAAAATATTATGACAAAAAAAAATCTTTAACAATCAGACAAACCTGTAGAGAGGCTGATAATCTTGAACATAATTATCTTTAAGAGAATGTGTTGTATCATCAGAAAAATCTTCAGACATCTCTTCATCGTTATCTTCATCAGGGATTTCTTCGTCATTATCTTCATCGTAATACTTATAACTTCTCCCAGCCGTCCCAGTGGGCACTTCACTTGCTCTGCCTAAAAGCATGAAGAGAATATATAGTCTAATTTACCCTTAATGCAGAATTGCCACATATATTTCGAAGATAAAAATTCCATGTGTTTTCCCTACACATAATATATACAATATATTAAAAGGAAAAACACATTTACTGTGCTCTTGCATGAGCTGTATACAATTAGAATTTGTGAAAAAAATTTAATATAGCTTAATTTGTTTTTATACGCATTTCACAATTTTCTAAACCATGACGAAATTTACATTTGTCAGCTGAATTGTCAAATTGAATGGTTCAGATTATCAAACCTAAGTGAAGCCTTTTGATACCAATCAATGGAATTTTTCTTCCATTTATAACAAAAAATGCTCACAAGGGAAACTAGGGAAGTGTGACTCGTCAATTTTGAAATAAACTAGTGGGATGTATGCCTTATGAGGAACAATTTCGTTCAACATTCGTTTCGGCCCATAGAAGGTCTTGTGAGAGATAAAAAATAATTCAATATATGGAAAAATCGGTATTTTATTACTTCAATGCAGACTATTACTTATTGTAATTGTCTCATAATCCAATTAATTTGTAATTAATTGGATAATTAATTAATTTCTTAATTAATAAACTAATCAGAAAATTAATTAATTATTATTTAGTTACTAATTATTAATTAATTATTTATTAATTAATTGATTTGCAATTACATACTCCAATTAATTTGGAAAGTTTTTAGAAAAAAAAAATTAAAAAAATTTTATGTCAATTTTTTTTTTTAAATTAACCTAACAGGTTTTTCTGAAAAACTGCAGATACATAAAATTTTCAAAATCAATTTTAACAATAAATATGCATTATATAGTGCGTGAAAGAAATTAATTATCCAATTAATTACAAATTAATTGGAGTATGAGACAATTACAATAACTAATAGTCTGCATTGAAGTAATAAAATACTGATTTTTCTGTATATTGAACTACTTTTTATCTCTCACAGGACCTTCTATGGGCCGAAACGAATGTTGCCCCCTAAAATTATTCCTCATAAGGCATACATCCCACTAGTTTATTTCAAAATTGGCGAGTCACACTTCCCTAGTTTCCCTTGTCAGTCGCTTCCTTTTTACTTACAAAACCATGTAATTAGAGGATAATATACCTAAAAGAAATGTATTGTAAGAAATTTTATCTGTGTTTTACAGTCAACTTTTTTTTAATTAAAAGAAATGTCACTGCAGAACAAGGTAGCCACTCAAATCTGGAAACAAAATTCCCTGTGTTTTCTCTGTACACATTATACACAATATATCAAGAGGAAACACAATTACTGTGCTCTTGTGTGAGCTATATTGGGCTAACTATACTAATTTTAATTTGAGGGAAAAGTTTAGATTAAATGAATTAGTTTAAAATAGCTGAAATATCATCATTAAATATCCCATAGATTGCACTTTGAGTGGTCACAATATTTAAGAGACAAAAATACAAAAATACAAAATACAATTCCCTGTATTTTCCAAGTTTTTAATAAAAATAAAAAGGAAAATAAACTTACGATTCCTTTCTTCCAACCGATTTGCCCGATCTCTTTTTAAGTTCTCTTTAACATTATTATATCCATTAGACTTCTTGTCATGACTTATAGTCTGAAATAAATAAAAAATAATATAACATAAATTTACATAAGTACAGAATAATAAGATAGTACAGAAGAGTACAGAATAATAAGATAACTACAAAGTTACTCTAGCGATAAATAAATGAATTAAATTTTAAATATGAATTAAAGATTTGACAAATCATGCTGTTATGTGATTTTTAACAAGCAATTCAAAATTAATTTCTTTAAATAAAATATGTTAACAAAATACATATTTTTCCAATATATATAAGTCATCTTTATATAAGTTAGATATATATAAGTTATCTATACATATTTTTCCGATATTATAAGTATCCGATAATGATATTTATTTAGTGACGAATAGCATGAACTAAATACATATTTGTCAAGCAAATTGTACTAAACAATATCTTTGGAGATAATATTAATCTGATCATGCAAACAACATAACAAACAACAGCAAACTACATACAATAATTAAACCTTTTTTTAAAAGTACAACGATCTAACATTTTTTTTAATTGAATTTTTATAAAATAAAAATATCTTAACACAAAAATATTATTTTTAATGTATTTACAAATTCATTCATAGATTCAGTTCAAAATTAAAATTTTTACGATAATTTTCCTTCAAAACAAAACTTTATTTTAAATATAATTATATTCTAGAATGTTGATAAGTGTTTAGTTTGAAAAAAAAATTAAGAAAATATCGAAAATTTTGAAGATATTCAGATATTTCTATGAAAGATAACAATAAAATATTTACTTATGCATACTAAAAACATATTAACTTGACTGTAGAAATATGAACAATTATAAAAGACAAATATAAGGTAATGCATCTATTTATTTTATCGACTAACAAAATTGCTAAAGCTTAATGTTATGTTATAGTTAAGTAACTTTATGGGAATAAATCATCCAAATCTTAATATTAACAGAAATTAATACTAAAGTAAATATTAACTTCCATTAATACTAAATTAAGATTTTAATCAAAATTATTTGAATAATCAAAAATAAATAAATAAAAAGAATGCACCAATAAGGGGAAGGCAAATATAAATAAAAGGAATGCACCGATATGACCTAAGCATTTTTAAAGTAAGTTAGCTATTAATTATATTGGTCAATTAATTACAATAGTTATACAATTTTTGTTATTAAGGTAATATTTAAATAAACATTTTTAAAATAATAAGGATTATCATTTAGATTACGATCAATTTGCTAAAACTGTATTATTTCATGAAATATATTCAAGTGATACTAAAAACCGTCAATATTTATTAAATAAACTAAGATGAGCATCTAAAAAAAACTAACAACAAAACATACAAAAAATATTAATTGTAAAAAGCGAATAAATTACTCTGTTATGACTCCTTGTTTCTCTCTTAGTAATCATAGGCAGACTGATCAGTTCTTTGATTTTCTGTCTCAATCTTTTCTCCTACAAAAAATGAAAAATAATCACATTACTTCAAAAAATTAGAGAACAATGATCTCACCAACTCAAGAATTATAAAAAAAATAATAGCAGTAATAGAATAAAATAGCAAAAAGAAAAAAAAAATTTACAATGCTGAGGCAAATATGAACCAATAATGGATTGCTATGAGTGCAATCTTTCATGGAAATAAATACAGTAAATTTTTAAGAAAATACTTAATACTTTTCCAATTCCCAAGGCAATTGAATATTGCCTTGATATCCGTTATTCATCTGTATCTATTTAAAATCCTAATTGCTTTTACAAAACTTGAAACATTTAGAAAAATTTTAACTAATACTAATTAAATGTACATTTTAAAGGGAAAAAATAGTTTTTCTACAAAAATTAATAAATTTGTTACATTTCTAACATTTTTTAAGTAACCAGTATTATTTTATTACTCATAAAACATTATAATAAAATAACTCTTAGAGACGATTATCATACCTATACTTTAAAATACATTCAGAGCACATAAGAAATCAGCTTAAATAATAAATAAGTTTTTAACTATCAAAAATTACAACTTCAAAATGACATTAGGACACTATTTTATTTAGCACCTTTTCTAGACATAATTCATTCAAAGCACATAAGAAATTAGACTAAGTAATGTGTGATGTTTTAACGATCCTTAATAGCAAAATAACTTTTAAGATATTTTTAAAATTACCTTTTCTTGGTATATTTCATTCAGAGCAGGTAAGAAATTAGCTTGTATAACTTCAAATAAAGATCTCTCGCACTTTGTATTACTATCCTTAAACTTGTCTGCAAAATTAATCCAATCATCAAGTGTATTGCATACGACAGACCATACAGACTTTTCATCAGTATTCATAAATTTCTTCTGATTACCATCCTCTTCAAGATCATCACTGTAAAAGAATCACTTTTTTAAAATGCAATTTTAGAATATTTTAAGAATTATTCAGATAAATTACAATAAAAAAAGAAAATATTTCTTTTCAAAATCAAATTTATGATGTGTAACTTTTCTTTTAAACTATTACTAGGTTTAAATATTTGATATTATTCTTTGAGCTATGTTTACATTTGTTATTCTATGCTCATATTCTTCACACTAATTCTTACTATTTATATTATGTTTACATTCCAGTGTTTTCATCGCAGAAAAAAAATGGGTGAGAATTTCTCACCCTTTCTCAAAAACAGGGTGAGATTTCAAAAAGTTAAGTGAGATTTCTAAAAATTAAAAAGCAAAAACACAAAGAGACATGAAAAAAATCATTTCTTTAATTATAATAAATTTTTAATATCTTCTAATCTTTAAAGTATTGAATATTTTTGCTGCATCATCATATGGAAAATGTTCTATATCTACTTTTTCATCAGCTATTCTCATTAGGTAACTCAAATGCGTATTTATTTCGTTTTGATCGTTTCTACCCACATTTGTTTCATTTTCATTTGTCCGTTTCGGAGTAGAAGATATTGCCTTTACAAGGTATTTGTCCATCTTGCATTAATGCGCAAAAAATTTTAACGTCTTACATGAAGAAACCTTACCTACAGTAAACACGTGGTTGCAGAGAAATGCGTTCTGAAAGAGGTTCGGAGGGATGGTGTTCTGTAGTTCTTAAAGATTTTAACAATACTGGTAAACAGGGAAGCTAGATAATGGGGCAGATGTTGAAAATAATGAAAGATCCAGGAAGAAAAGTGAAACGGATTTTATTCTAAATGGCGCAATGAGAAATTTTTTTCAAAATGCGAGAAATTCGTGAATTTTGAAATTGGTTTATAGAATGCGCGAATTTCTCGCGGTAATCATTTTTTAATGCGAGAAAAGAAAAAAATATGCGAGATTCTCGCGTTCTCGCGCTGTAGTGAAAACACTGCATTCTTTTTTAATAAAAGCTACATCTCTCATAACAAAACCTAAAATTGAGAAAGAATCAGAACAGATTAAGATTTCCAACGATATTTTAGTTTCAATAAATAAAAAATAGTCGCAATAATAAAATATTTAAAAATATCATTTAAGAGCTTTTCATTTAAAAAAAACAATGCCGATTAATATGATGAAAAAAAAAATATTTTACATGGTGTAATTTCATTTGGAAGCATGGAGGAGACATATTCAAATACTTCAACTGAGTTTATTGAGTTATGCTTAATATGTAGGCTTTATGAACACACAAATGACTAACAGATAAATTATTTTATGGAATTCTTAACTGGGTCATTTTTTAATAGTTAAAAAAGGAACTTGCGTTATAAAATTCAGAAAATCAATAAAAATAATTTATAAAGAAATTCCAAAATCAAACCATAATATTGTTATTTTTATAAAGTGAAACAATAGAATCTTTTACAAAAAGCAACAATACAGTGTAATTATAATAAAAAAACAAGCAATTTTCTCTTGTTTCATAATGATACTAAAATTTAGATTCAAAACTCTAGCTTTTATTTTAGTGAATTTATTATTACCTTTCTCCATCCGACTTTCGTGGCTTACAAAGGATCTTTCGAGGACGACCTCTTCCTCGCCGTGGTTGCACTTTCTGCTGTTTTAACTCATCATCCCTTAAATAAAACATTGTTCAGATATAAGTAACTACATTGAAAAAACTATATACAACAAATAACTATACCTAGTGTTTTCATCATAGAAAAAAAATGGGTGAGAATTTCTCACCCTTTCTCAAAAACAGGGTGAGATTTCAAAAAGTTAAGTGAGATTTCTAAAAACTAAAAAAACACAAAAACTCTTTAAAAAAAATCATTTCTTTAATTATAATACATTTTAACGTTTTCTATTTTTTAAAGCATTGAATATTTTTGGTGCATCATCATAGAAGATTTTGCCTTTACAAGGTATTTGTCCATCTTACATAAGTGCATAAAAAATTTGAACGTCTTACATGAAGAAACCTTACCTACGGTAAACACGTGGTTGCAGTGAAATGTGTTCTGAAAGGGGTTCCGTGGTTGTGTTCTGTTGTTCGAAAAGTTTCTGAACAATACTGGTAAATAGGGAGGCTAGATAATGGGGCAGATGTTGAAAATAATGTAAGATCCAGGAAGAAAAGTGAAACGGATTTTATTCTAAATGGCGTAATTCGAAGCTTTTTCCGAAATGCGAGAATTTGGCGAATTTTGAAATTGATTTATAGAATGCGCGAATTTCTCGCGGTAATAATTTTTTACTGCGAGAAAAGAAAAAAAAATATGCGTGATTCTCGCGTTCTCGCGCTGTAGTGAAAACACTGATACCTGAAATTTTAGGCAGTAAAATTATTTGATAATATAATATTTCAATTTCATCAATTAATTTTATAAACCATCAATTTTTTTGACCACATCTATTTAACCCATTAAATGTCCCCACATAAAAAACGAACAAATAACAATTTTTGTATGCTTTGAGATTCAAAATATGTCTGTGTCTTAGTAAATCTTTATTTTTTTACAAAATATTAAGTACCAAATTAAAAGTTAAAGAGCTTTTAACCCTCTTACAGCCCTATCAGAAAAAATGCATACACGAATTCCCACGAATTTCACACATTCTCATGAACAAATTGTCTCATTGTCCATTTTTAAAATTGCAGAAGATTAAAATACAACTAAAAGTAAATCATTTAGAAAAGCTAGATAAAAACATTTTTAAATTTTAAGAACCAACTTAAGAAGATTTAAAATAGAAGCTTTATACAGAGAAATAGGAAAAATATTTCAAAGAAAAAAATGGTATTTATGAAATTAGGCTTACCAATTTAATTTTTTCTCTGGGGAAGGTTGTTCTTTGTATAATCTTGTTCCATAAAAGTACCAGTACTTATTTCCATCATTATCACACCCTAATGCTTGGGCTCTTAAGATATCTGAATCCATATTCTGAAAAAAATAAAGATCAAACGTATAAATAAATGTAAAATCATGTGTTATGATCATTCATTTAGAATAAAATCAAATTTTGAAAAAAAATTCCTAAAAAAAAATTATTTTTTTTTAAAAATCTGTAATATTTATTTATTTTTAACTTTGAAAAAGTGATTTCTAAAATATGCCACCGTTTATTTACTCTTAAAATGTTAGTTATAATTTTTAGCAAAGCTTAAAGCAAGTAGCTTCTCTGCCTTGTTAAAGAATATTTTTAATTTTTTTTTAAGTTCTTTTTTTTTTTCAAGACTTCATCTTTTGGGGAGTTAGAATATTTATTTGCACATTTGCAATTTTTGAGAGAGATTGTTGTTACATATATTTGCCAAAAAATTAAAAAAGTTTTAAAAGCAACTATGTTAATGTGACAGTATAGACAAAGAGCTTAGAGTAAAATAGTTATAACCTCATTCTGTCTTGAGTATTATTCCTAAATAAGTAATTTACAACTCCCAGTTATTTTCACTAGATGGTAGCAAAATACACAGAAGCTTCTTACTGTCTACAAGAAAATCATTGTGCTTTTCACCGAAAATGCTCACCAGGAAAATTTTAAATCTGTGGCTTATCATTATACATAGCTGCCAACAGGGATAGGAAAAAATCCAGTAGATTTTATGAAATCACATAAATTTCATGATAATTGTTGCATAATGTACTAAATACGCATAGGGAATTTTAGGGATTTTTATAGTCATCAAAATAGAAAAACTGCAATATTTTCCAGTTATGATTGACATTAAACATAGTTGAAAAGTTATGTATTAAATTTATTCATAATTTTTAATATTAATGGACATTTAATTCATCAAAGATAGTTAAAAGATGTTTTTAATTAATTTAAAAAAAGAGTTTTGAACAAAAATAAGTTGAACAATTTAGAACAAAAAAAAGTTTTGAACTGATTTTTAAAAACGAGTTTTACTTCATTATGTATTAGTAATACTTATTTAAATATTCAAGCTAGCAATAATCTGTACAAAAATTCTATTTCAATAGAGATTTTTTTAGGAAACTTACTCAATTTTAGGTAATTTTCTAAAATGTACAAAAACTAGAAGTTTCTTAATGAAACGAAACCAGTAGACCAGGAGAAACTGCCAAAATCCAGTAGTCTACTGGAAAATCCAGTAGATTTGGCAGCTATGCTTGTTGAACTGTGCTTGTTATTATAATATATATGATGGTCCAAGTCTAATTTAGTTCCATACATAGTTTAATAAAACCATAAACCATCACAAAAATTAAATTTCAATAGAATTTCAATTCAATCTATAAGCATAATGTTTTAAAAATCTCACAAGCTTAACTTCAACTCTATGAAACTAACAAGCNTTTTTAAAAGCGAGTTTTACTTCATTATGTATTAGTTATACTTATTTAAATATTCAAGCAAGAAATAATCTGTACAAAAATTCTATTTCAATAGGGATTTTTTTAGGAAACTTACTCAATTTTAGGGAATTTTCTAAAATGTACAAAAACCAGGAGGATCTTAATGAAACGAAACCAGTAAACCAGGAGAAACTGCCAAAATCCAGTAGTCTACTGAAAAATCCAGTAGAGTTGGCAGCTATGCTTGTTGAACTGGGGGACATATATTATATATGATGGTCCAAGTCTAATTTAGTTCCATACATAGTTTAATAAAACCATAAACCATCACAAAAATTAAATTTCAATAGAATTTCAATTCAATCTATAAGCATAATGTTTTAAAAATCTCACAAGTTTAACTGCAACTCAACCTCTATAAAACTAACAAGCATAGCAATTGAACTTTAAAGAAATTAACATAGCAAACAGAACAAACAGAAAAAATCCAGATTGGGAATCAAGATTAAAAAAAAAAAGATTGAAATTAATTTTGTACCTTCATGGCTTCTGCAGCATCACTTCGATCTAGACGCATATAGCATAAAAAAAGTATAATATCAGTCTGAGATGAAGAATCCAAATCCCAAAAACTGGTGAGAGATTCTTGATTTTGCAAACCAGAAAATCTGTCCAAACTATTTTCTTGTAAACTGAGATCCTCCAAAAAACTATCCGTTGTATCCAAACTCACCAATCCATCCGTCTTTTTAAAAAGTTCAAAGTCTGGTTCGGGAAACGGATTGCTTCTTCCTTCCTCGGGAACAAATTTTTTTTGAACTAGTTTCCTAAGATACAACTCCCAATTCTCTTTGCTGAAAACAAAAATGTATGTATACGTAAATATATGTATGTATATACACATAAATTACATGTGCTTTATTCAGAGATGCTTCAACCAATTTGAGGTATTTCAATAAAATTTTTAAAAAAGTCAAAGCTGTAATTTTATACACTGCAAAATATAATTCAATAGGATTGAAACATTTTAAACATTTTTTTCTAAACCATTGGGATTCATTTACAAGATTTATATATAATTTATGGAAAAAATTTACCTTAATATCCAAAGGAATAATTGCAATAGCACACAGCTATGAAATACATCAAGTTTAAAAAAAGAATGAAAAAAATGGATTATTTGTGGTAAAAATTCCCCTTAATATCCTAGGGATTAATTACAATAGCACACAGCTATCAAAAACATCAGTTTTAAAAAAATGGAAGAAAAAAATGGATCTATGGCAAAAATTCCCCTTAATATCCTAGGGATTAATTGCAAACAGCTATCAAATACATCAGTTAAAAAAAATAAATAATGCGCAAATGGAAACACAAACACCAATGAAATTTTAACCAATTAAACCATAAAAACTAAAAATCACATACATAAATATCAATACAAAATTCATTATTCTTCCTAAATATTATATGAATGCATTATCCGGCCAGCGGTTTAGAAAATGGGCAAAATTGCGAGAATGATTCACCACAATAAGCTATTTCTTTATTTTATAACCGGCTTTGCAATGCAAAAAGACTGCAGGCCAAAATCCGTCTTTTTAAATGCAGAACCGTCAGCTAGTTATACTATATTACAATATACCCACTCATTAATATTCCTACAAACCAAACTTTTGGCTTAATAGAATTCCCAACACTTTAAAGAATTTTTATCAAAAGACTGTTTATTGTAAACCAACCACATACCTTGAAATAATTACTTTAAAAAGCTTTAGTCCACAAAATAAATCAAAATCCTCATTAAAATAATAATTGCATCTCAAAAAATTATTAAAATATTACCATTGATATATATTTTAATAAAACTTCAATATCGTGATGAAATAAGAACAATTTTCGACGAAACAAATTAATAAAAAATAAAAAAATATGACGTTTAAAAAGAACTCATGAAAAGGGTCCTAAAATTTCCCAGGTTTTTAGCAAAAATTTTCCTTTTCCATGAGCATTCCTTGATTCTTTTGAGTTTATATGAAAATCCAATAAATTTTAGTATCCATTAACAGAGATTTTTAAAAAATTAACTACAGCAAGATTTTTTTAAAAAAATCTTTAAATAATTTTTGCCAATTAATAAATATGTTCGATTAGCATTATTCACAGTGCTAAATATAATAGATGATTTGCAAACACGTGTATAAAATGCAAACACATGATGATAAGCAAACATATATTATTATTCCATACATATCCTCAAGTTCCGGTATTTATTTTATAACAAAAGAAGTTCACAATATACTTTGCATATTAGAAACTATAATAAATAATTAAAGGCTAGAGCTAAAGCTATTTACACTAAAAGAGATATTAAATATATTTATGTTGTAAACAGAATACTATACCATAAGTTTTCTATTCATATAAACTAACTACATAAAAAATTAATGCTGTGCAATTGTTTTTAATTTTACATCATAAATATAATCAACTAAAATAAAAATGTAAGTACTATAGTGTCTTACTGTAGATAAAAATCTAATGATAGTTTTCCATTTTATTGGCAGAAAAATCATGCAGTAGGATCCAGTTTTTCCTCATTCATTTCCATATTGTTTTGGTTGTCATCACCATATAATTAATAAAAGTCATAACGGTTTGTTTTTCTATAAATATTCTTGTATCCCTAATTTAAAGTTATTTTTCTGTTCTGCTATTATTACGCTTTTAATTCAAGAGCTTTAAACTAAAAGAATTGTTGTTTTTCTATTATTATGATGTAATTCAGCGCTACATTTTAAAATAAATAAGGTGGTAATAAAATAAATAATTTAATAAGGTGGTTTAATCTTATTAACTGCTTTACAATTATTATTTTTGTACCAATAACAATATTATACTGTTATAAATTACAGTTAAAGAGATCTATTAAATGGTTTAGAACTTAACAATGCAAGCAAAAATAGTATTTAATATATCCGAAAATAAAATATTAAACTACTGTGAATTGTAACGAATCAAATTTGTTTAAACAATATAATGTTACATAATAATATAAATGTTATTTTAAAAAATGATTACTTGGAAAAATTACTTCTGTTTACCAATAGATCTAAATATCTATAAAACTAATAGACATTTGGACGTGGGAAGTGGAGGCACAAGCATAGATGTTAAGTTAAGTACATAGATGTTAAGCGAATAATTTTAACTTTAGTAGGAAAAATGTTTTCTGCCAAGGAACAACAATTATTGCGAAGCAATCATCGGGGTTGGTGAGCGGTAGCGACCAGGGGGCTTAGCCCCCTAGTTATGAATAAATATTATAACAGAATTGATAAAGAATTTTCATTCATTCAAGAATTTCACATTTTTCATTTCATATAAGGTAGAAAACTAAAATGCAGCAATGGATATATTTAGTGTAAGATATTATAATTTTATTTAACTTGGACCTCTCTTTAAATTAATATAATAAGAATTAATTACTGTATCTTTAGTTTAATTATATGTTGTAAGCTAAAACGGTGATGCGCTACTTTTAAGAAAATTATTTCTAAAACTAAAAACTTTTATTCTAATTAGGTAAGGGGTAATAACAATTATTAAAAAGAATGAAAAATGTTTGAGAACCATTAAAGCAAACTATATAATGAAGCATAAAAAGAAATTTATATTAAGGGAAAATAAAAATGCGAATTCTTCTAGCCACTGTATCCAAGGTTAGGATTTAGAGAAATATTTATCCTAAACCGTCCTTTAAATTATTTACTGTAACTTCAGTTTAATGAACAGTTATAAACAACTAAAACCAACTTCTACAAGATTTTTTTTTTTTTTTTTTTAAATTTCACTTGTTAAAAAAAAAGTTTACAAAAATAGGTATTATTAAAATGAAAAAGTTTTAAAATCAAATTATAAAAACAAATGAAAAGATAAATCATAAAAACAAACTATACCAAATAAAAAGTAAAATCCAAATTCTTCCAGCCACCGTATCCAAGAGTTATATAAAGTAAACAAAAACGATGCTTTCGCCACAGTGACAGTGAAAAGAATAAAAACTATTTTAGAAACTAGAGAAAGAAGACGATCTTCTCTGACCAATCACGAAAGAGCGCTTGCGGCAGGAAGTTTCAGCGTGCGAAGATAATTGGCCAAAATCAGGCGCGAACCATATCTCCCCTCAAAACTTTCTATCCTACCATTTACTCCCCCCTTTTACGAAAATTTTACGCGACTAAAAGGATCACAAAAAATAAATTCATTTCATTTATTATACAATATTTCTAAGCAAATAAGTATTACATTATTGTTAATTTTTATGGTATATATGATGATTAGAGCCCGGATTTTGATGACCTAAAAAATATCAACTAATGCCCTTAAAAAGTGCAAAAAATGNCTATATTTTACTGGATAACAACTTCCATCTTATAATATTACTAAATATCAGAATTACATTGGATTATTAAATGATTTTTGATATTTAGAAATGTAAACGAGCGTCTCTTGCCCGAAAGTAAATTTTTATAAATAAGCTTCTTTCAACGTCTACTGATGTTATTGGTGCGAACTTGAAAAAGACGGTCTCACTTACTGATAATTCTTCTTTAATTTGAAAAGATGGTGCTTCACCTGTTAATATCCTAGAGATTTTCTTCATTGTTTGGAAGCCAGTGTTCTTCTCCAAAACTTTGTTCAATTTAGCTGCTACACTTTTGTGTTACCTTTCCCTTTGCTTTTTGCAACACTTGACTCACTACGTCAATATAATTTATTGCATCGCAAAGTTCCAATTCTTCAAAATACGCCCCAAAATTTAAAAAACAATGCCCTATAAATCTAAACAAATGCTCTAAAGGACAAAAAAATGTCTAAAAATGCAAATGTCATCAAAATCCGGGCCTTAATGATGATTTTCAAACATATATTCCTATTTTTTTAAGCTTAAAAAACTGCTTTAACTATCTTAAAGCAAACTTAATGCTGCTGCGGTAAGTTTCAATAGTCAGTACCAAATGTTTGATTTTCGGTTCGATACTATTATCGGAAAACGCAAATTATTTCGACTGTCGGAAAACGCAAATTAATTCGAATGTCGGAAAACGCAAATTAATTCGACAGTCGGAAAACGCAAATTAATTCGACTGTCGGAAAAAGCAAATTAATTTGACTGTCGGAAAACATAAATTATTTCAACTGGGAAAACACAAATTATTTCAACTGGGAAAACACTAAAGAATATCTTACTCTAAAGTTTTGTAAAATGCATAAGCTTTGTTTTGCGCTAAGTTGAATCTTTTGTTTAAAGAATAAAAATTAGAATTTATAAAAATTAAAAATACGAGGAATACTTTCTTAATGAAGCATAAGAGAAGGGTTATGATTTGCTTATTTTTGCTGATAAGGGGAAGGAAAAAACCAAAATTGTAAAACACATACCTATGTAATTATGGAAATGTAAAACTTTAATTTTCAATTCTTCATTTAATTGATATTTCGAAGAAAACTTATTTCAATAAACTTAAATGTACGGAGAAAAAGAAATTATATAAGTTATTTATTAAATAAGTTTGCTGTTAACTTAATTGAGAACTGAATAAGTGAATAAATAATTACAATTCTTTGACGGAAATTTTTACCAATTTCAAAAATAAGGAATCTTTTAAAAAAAGAGAATAATAGAAAAAATAAGAGACTATTATGTATGGAGACATACTCTACTCAACAATGATGGGAGAGACACTTTAAGTTTTTGACATTTTCTTAAATTTCTCAAAATATTAGAGGATTATTTTGTATTTTAGCGCGATTTTCATACTTAGCAAATAAGATTTAAAGCTTTTAGAGG